TGCATTGGCCGGGAATCGAACCCGGGCCTCCCGCGTGGCAGGCGAGAATTCTACCACTGAACCACCAGTGCTCCAGCTGTCAGCAGCTGTGGAGCAACTCCCTTTAACCCCAGCCCTGAGCCTCCTTGTGTCTGTGCTGATCCACAGTATATGAGGCCTGGCTCCAATGCTGCCACATCAACACAGCTGAAGGAGCAGAAACCTGGGCTCCTGAGCAGAAGGGAGTGTGTGTGTTGGAAGCTGATTTGCCGTCAGACCTCGAGGCAGAGGCTAGAGCTCAAGTCCGTTCTTCTCAGTAGCAAAAAGTATTGAGACTTAGGGTAACTTCTCTTGTCTGAGGCTTGGGTCCTCTCATTCCTCTTTTTCTTTGGTGTTTGGCAGTTTTACAGTTCTCGGGTTTCACCTCAGCTTCCTGCTGGAGACTGGCCAAGACTGAGGTGCACAGGAAGGGGCCCCTTAGGGGTGAAGGGCATGAAGCCCTGGTTCACAGCCAGTGGTTCTCTGGACCCAGCTGCTGTTCTTGTGCTTGCTTGCTAAGCATGGTCCCAGATGCATAGGCACTGGGGTGGCTGGGAGTCTGGCTCCAGCAGCAGTGTCTCCAGGTGAGAAACTCGCAGGAAAAGGCAAAAAGCAGACCTGCATTGGCCGGGAATCGAACCCGGGCCTCCCGCGTGGCAGGCGAGAATTCTACCACTGAACCACCAATGCTCCATCTGTCAGCTGCTATGGGAGCAACTCCCCTTAACCCCAGCCCTGAGCCTCCTTGTGTCTGCCAGTTCATGGCATATGAGGCTGGGCTCCAAGGCTGCCAGATCAGCACAGCTGCAGGAGGAGAAAGCCGGGTTCCTGAGCAGGAGGGAGTGTGTGTGTATCAGAAGTTGATTTGCCTTCAGACCTCAGGACAGAAGCTAGAGCTCAAGTCTGTTCTTCTCAATAGCAAAAAGCATTGAGGCTTACGGTGACTTTGTCCCATCTGAGGTTTGGGTCCTCCTGTTCGTTGCATTTTTTCTTTGGTTTTTGGCTGTTTTTGCTTCTCAGGGGCACGGCAGAGGGCCCCTTAAGGGTGAAGGACATGAAGCCCTGGTTCACAGCCACTGGTTCTCTGGACACCCAGCTACTGTTCACATGCTTGCTCGCTAAGTGTGGTCACAGATGCACAGGTGAGAGACTTGCAAGACAAAGCAAAACAAAAAAAAAAAAGCAGCTCTGCATTGGCTGGGAATCAAACCCAGGCCTCCCACATGGCAGGCGAGAATTCTACCACTGAACCACCAATGCTCCAGCTGTTCTGTGGAGCATCTGCCTCTGGCAGATCACTGGGCCTCCTCTGGCTGGTTTTTCTGGTTCAGAGCTGGGACAGGTTTATGTAGAACTGGGCTCACTGGGCAGGATTACGCTGCTCTGGGAGTTGGGGCCTGTAAACTGGCATTCCGTTTCCACATGAGGCCCTTGGCTCATCCATAACCCTTTGCCCCATAAAGATCAGAGCCCAAGAGACCTCACAGGCCGCTTGTGCGAGCCCTCCCTTGTGCAGTTCCGACTCATAGTGACCCTATGTACAACAGAACAAAACACTACCCGCCCTGTACCATCCTCACAGTCGTTGCTTTGTTTGAGCCCATTGTTGCAGCCACTGTGTCAGTCTATCTTGTCAAGCGTCTTCTTCTTTTTCTCTGACACTCTACCTTACCAAGCATGATGTTCTTCTCCAGGGACGGGTCCCTCCTGATAACATGTCCAAAGTACGTGAGACAAAGTCTCACCATCCTCGCTTCCAAGGAGCACTCTAGCTGTACTTTTTCCAAGACAGACTTGTTTGTTCAGTTACATTTAAAAGTCCATAATCTCTAGACCACCCTTCTCACACCTACAGCCACTACACTAGTGTACACCCCTCCTGTCTGGGTGACCAAGGGCCCCCCATTCATCTCACAGGCATCTCCAGGCTTCAGAGATTCTTTCCTCATGCCCCTCAAATACCATATGAAGCTTATGCCCAGGGTTAACAGTGTTGGAAAAATCACATTGATTAAGAGTAGGGTTGCACAGCCAATTGTTGTAATTGCTGTCATTAAGTTGTACAGCTATAAAAAGTTGAATTGGCAACAGTTGTGTGATAGGTATATTTACAGCAACAAAAAAAGAGTTAACTGCTGAGACTCATTAGGTACACCCAAATACATCACAGGATTTCGTTCCTTGGTTTGGAGGTTTAGGTCATGGTTTCATGGGACATCCAATCCATGGCTTAGTATCATGGGTTGAATTGTGTCCCCCAAAAATATCTGTCAGCTTGGCTAGGTCATGATTCCCAGTACTGTATGATTGTCTACCATTTTATCATCTGATGTGATTTCCCTATGTGTTGTAAATGCCATCACTATGATGTAATAAGATGGATTAAAGGCAGTTATATTGACAAAGTCTACAAGATTAGATAGTGTCTTAAGCCAATCTCTTTTGAGATATGAGAGAGAAAAGGGAGCAGAGAGACATGGGGACCTCATACCACCAAGAAAACAGTGCCAGGAACAGATCGCGTCCTTTGGACCTGAGGTTCCTGTGCTGAGATGCTCCCAGACCAAGGGAAGACTGATGCATCATAAGGACCTTCTTCCAGAGCCAACAGAGAGAGAAAGCCTTCTCCTGGAGCTGATGCCCTGAATTTGGACTTGTAGCCTACTAGACTATGAGAAAGTAAATTTCTCTTTGTTAAAGCCATCCACTTGTGGTATTTCTGTTAAAGCAGCACTAGATAACTAAGACACCTAGTAACATGTTTAGTGCTTCTATTTTACCTCCTAGTTTGTTGCATAGTGTCTGGGGTCTTAAAAGCTTGCAGGCAACCATACAAAGCACAACAGTGGGTCTCAGTTCACCTGGAGAAACAGAGGAAAAAGGAGAGTCAGGAATAGGAGGAGGATATGGAATGCATGGCCAGGCGCCTCCATGAACAACTGCCTCCTTTGCCCATGAGACCAGAAGTACTGGATGGTCCCTGGCTACCATTATGAACATTTTGATCAAAGATTCCATAGAAGAATCCTGATCAAAATGGGGAAAAATGCAAAACAGATTTTGAAATTCTCATGGGAGCCATGAGGACTGGATGAACCCTTGAAACTATTGCTCTGAGATAATCTTTAAACCTTAAACCAAATATATCACCTGAAGTCTTCTCAAAACCAAACAGTAGTTTAGCTAAACTAGTAAGAAAATGTCTTCCTTGAGCATTAATGCTCTTCTAAGAACTATCTGTATGGGATCAAATTGACAGCAGCCAACCTGAAAGATTAGATAGGAACCTTATGGAGCAGTGACTTTATGGTAATAGGGGAGGAACAACTCAGAAAAGAGGGTGAGAATGGTTACATAACTTGAATGTAATCAATGTCACTGAATTGGATGTGTAGAAACGGTTGAATTGGTGTATGTTTTGCTGTGTATATTCTCAACAACAACAAAATAATTTTTTTAAAAAAAGAAAAAAGCTTATACCCATGGTGAGAAATCCATTCTCTCTAATTTGGCATTCCAGAATTCCGTAGCCAGCCAGTCCTGGTTGATATCCGCTGCTGTTTGGTTCTCTGGTTCCCCCTCCCTGCCTTTGTTCACACAGTTCCTCTGTCCACAATGCTTGTTCTTTCTCTCTCCCTGCCTCCTTCAAGATCCAGCTCACATCCCACTTCTAGAAGACTTCCCTGGCCACCCAAGCCGCAACCTCCTGTCAGTTCTTTGGGTCGCTCACGCCACCATTTTTCACATGAGGCCTCTCTCAGCAGGGCGGCTGTGAGTTTCTGAGGGGCAGAGTCTTGGTCTTCATGTCCACTGGGCTCTGGAAACGGGCTGGTCTGTTACAGAGCTGAGCCTCCTGCTGCTCTCCTCTCAGGCAGGGCCTGCCCTGGGAGGCCTCCCCTGCGTGGCCTGTGGGCGCCTTCAGCCACAAAAATTGCCATGGAGCTCGCTGGCTCCCCTCCCACCCTACTGCTTTTCCCTGTTAGCATCACTCCCCAGGTCAACACCTCAAGGCACCGTCTACTCTTCCTTCCCTCCCTCCATATTATATGGCTACTGGTGCCTTTCTCCTTAATTTTACAACAGCCCCTTGTTTTCGTTCAGTTCCTCCTTCCTTCCTTTGTGGTTGCAGTGCTCTCCTGTGGGGCTTTCTTCTTGGCATTGCTCTTCTGTCAGCCCAGCCTCTCCAGGCTGCCCCCAGAGTTGACCTCCTCACAGCACAGGGCCAGTCATGCCTTCGAGTGCTGGAGACCTTTCACTGGGTCATCTGTCCCTTTACCTGTCACCAGCCACCCCTTCCACATGCCAAACTCCTTGTCTTTCCCTAAATATGCCAGCCTTTTCAGAGCTGTTTGCTTCTGGCCCAGCTCTTCCCTGTGCCTGAGATGCCCTTCTTTCTTTACCTGGAAAATGCCTGTTAGTATTTTAAGATTGCCTTCTTCAGCCCTTCTGGACAGCCCAGGGAGAGTTAACCCATTGCTTTTCATGCTTCTGTGATATCACTTGTGCCACTTCACTGCAGTTTAATACAAGTACAATACAGATTTGCTACAATTAGTTGTTTGTATGTGTATCTTGCCAGTTGGACTGGGGTTGGATTCAGCTGTGTGTGGTTCCATTCTGGGGTGCTGGAATGGAAAGTTGACCAAGTGTTGAGTAAAGAGTTGGGTGATCAAGGGATAATACATTGCATTTTTTGTCCCCAACAAGACGTTCATTTGCATTCTCTCAGATTCCCAGGAGTAAAATCCCACCACTGTTCCTCATTCCATTGTACGCAAAGGGAAACTGAGACCCAGCGTAGGGAAACGACTGTGACCAACCCAGTATCTCCCAGGCAGAAGCAGAACTGCAAAAGTCCTGCCCTGAAATACCTGCTCCCAATTCCTCTTTCTAGATATGTCACCATCTCATCCCCACCCCAGGCCCTGGAGCCAACAGCCTGGTTCCATTGGTCCTATAGCCCCTCTCTCCTCTCACTTTAGGCTGGTCCGGGAGTTCGTGGCCCAGAACAACACTGTGCAGATCAAGCATGTGATCCAGACCCTGTCTCAGGAGTTTGCCCTGTCTCAGCACCCCCACAGTCGGAAAGGGGGCCTCATCGGCCTGGCCGCCTGCTCCATCGCACTGGGCAAGGTGGGCCTTTCCCCTGGAGGAGTGCACATGCCTGTGATGGCCTTGATTCCAACCAACACCCGGCAGGTCTTGACAGCCGTGTGGTTTTTCTTTCCACACCTAAGACCAGCCCTGCTGGCTCTGTGGCTTGGCAGCCCCAGTTCCCCGGGCATGGCTTCTATCCTGGGAGGCCAACTTGGGAAGGGTCTTTGAGCCCAGCCCTCACGGAGACCTGAGCATGTCTAAGAGTGGGGACGCCGGCTGCACCACAGGCTTGGAGGCCTGGGCCTGACCCATTCTGAACCTATTCTGGGTGTCTTCCTCCCCCTGCCCCCTTCAGGACTCAGGACTCTACCTGAAGGAGCTGATTGAGCCAGTGCTGACCTGCTTCAACGACGCAGACAGCAGGCTGCGCTACTATGCCTGCGAGGCCCTCTACAACATCGTCAAGGTGGCCCGGGGCGCCGTGCTGCCACACTTCAACGTTCTGTTCGACGGGCTGAGCAAGGTAACCAGCCCCTCCTTCTAGCGGGGCTGAGCTTGGTCCAGCCACTTACCTCGACCTGGGAACTGCAGTGCAGATAAGCACGTGGTGGCACTTAATTGTCTGTTGAATCTAATTTTTTTTTTTTAAAGGACTTGTTTATGGTTTATTTTTTTATTTCATTTCTCTAGTAATTCATTTTTATTGCATTTTACGCAAGTATTGGTCCACCACAGATTGGAGGGAAAGAAAAAAAAAACTGATAGTTTGAGAAGCATGAACCTCCCTGGAAGGTGCTAACAGTGAATTCAAAGACCAGATTGTATTTCCCCTCTGAAGAGGGCGGCTGATTATTCTAGCTTGTTAGCACTCTAGAAAAAGCTCTATTTAGAAAGGCCTTGAAGTCTCCTCAGCTCTTCTCTCAGCTTCATGGAGTTCCCCCTCCCAGGGACATAGCAGCCAGGAAGCTCTGCTGCCACTGCCGAATCCCGCAGACCTTTCTATCTAGCAGCTTCCCTGGTCCCCTACTTCAGGTGTAGAGCGTTCTCAGATTGGACACCGCTAAGGAAGGCCAATGGAAAACAACTACCTGGCCCAGTCACAGCAGGGGACGGGACCTCCCAAAGGTCACAGGAGCAGCCCCTGAACAGACTGGGGAATTCCTCTGTGTCTTGGTTCCCTGTCCACGTTTCATCCTGCCTGCCCTCGCTCTCCTGCCTTTTTTACACTTATCATGTGAAAAAATATGACTGTTAGACACTCCACGCTGCACTGTGGCCTGGGCCGTGGGTTTTCAGTAGATTCCTTCTCTTAAACACTGACGTTGGTCACCTGCTCCATTTTTCTCCTGTTTCTGTGCCTCTCTAGTTGGCTGCTGATCCAGACCCCAATGTGAAGAGTGGATCTGAGCTCCTAGACCGTCTTTTAAAGGTATTTGTACTTTGCCCCCACTTTTATTTTTTAGAATCTGTCTTTTCCATCTGTTTGTACAGCTTATAATTCTATCACTGGGGATAACCCTAATCTTTTTTTAATTTTTAAATTTATATACAGTAAAATTCACTTTTGGTGAACAGTTCTGTAAGTTTGACAAGTGCATAGAGTTATTTTGCCACCACAAAGTACAGAACTCCATCACCCCTAAAAATTTACTTGTGTTACCCCCACTAGGGGGTGGACAGGGGTGACGGGGCTGGTTATACTGAGCTCACATTAGCATTCGATCCAGACCACAGAGATGTTTTGTCAGTTATTAGTTTTCTTGACCTTGATTCCTGCTTTTACTCTCGTTTCTGCTTGTCCCCTGGCCTGTGAGAGGACGGATGTCCCTGGGACCTCTCCTGCTATTCCCCTCTCTGGCCTTTTGGGGCAATATTTGGGCCAGGTCTCTGTTTTCGGCAGCTAACATGTCTTTTGATCCACAGGACATCGTGACTGAGAGCAATAAGTTTGACCTGGTGGGCTTCATCCCCTTGTTGCGGGAGAGGATTTACTCCAACAACCAGTATGCCCGGCAGTTCATCATCTCCTGGGTGAGAGTCCGGCCCCTCAACACTGTTTCTGTAGTCATAACAAACCTCTAGTTTAGTACAGTCTGCTCACTGGAACATCCTTGGCAGGTCCTTTGCCATTGAGTTGATGCTGGATCATAGTGACCCTACAGAACAGAGTAGAACTGCCCCCTAGGGTTTTATAGGCTATAAACTTTACAATAGCCAATTGCCAGGTCTTTCTCCTGCAGAGCCGCTGGGTAGGTTTGAACTGCCAACCTTTCAGTTAGCAGCCAAGCACTTAACCACTGCGCTACCAGGGCTCCTTGGCTAGAGAGAAGACCTCATTATTATCCTTCTAATAGCCATTGACAGTAGATGATCAGAGAACATATTCACTCAGATTTTCCCCCAAAGCCCATCATGTTTGTCCCTAAAATAGATCCAATTCTTTCTTTGCCCAGGAAACACCCAGATTGCTCTTTGAAGCCAGTAGTGGTGCATCCAGCAGTCACACCTCTTGAAGCTGTGCATTCCCATCTCCTCTCAGCACCTGAATTCCCTGGCATAGCCTTTTTTGGAGTTAAATTTGCCATTCCCCTGCACATTTGACAGAAATGGGAGCTGCTAGGCAGTGAAATGCTGCTAGGCAGTGAAATGCTGCTTGGCAGGGCCCCATTCCTGTGGCCTGGTCCCAGAGGATTGGCCGAGGAAGGGATGAAGGTTCCTGGGCTGATGTTCTCTGTTTTCTTCCCCTTGGTCAGATCCTGGTTCTAGAGTCCGTGCCAGACATCAACCTGCTGGATTACCTGCCAGAGATCCTGGATGGACTCTTCCAGATCCTGGGAGACAATGGCAAAGAGATTCGGAAAATGTGAGTGGAGGGAATGGGTAGGCAGGTGACCCATATCCCACTCCCAGCAGACAGGCAGTAGAAGGAGAACAAGAAGTTCCGTCTTTGTCTGCCTGCTAACACGCTCTCCATTTTGCGGAACTAAGATCTCACCAACCCCCAGCCTCTGAAAAATGTTCATTTGACAAGTCTCAGTGTAGTCACCCTCTGGGTGGCCACCCTAGAGCAGAAATGGACATTGAGGCCCCTCTAGACCTGGCTGACATGACCTGTTTCTGTTCTCCTTTTGTCATTGGTAGGTGTGAAGTGGTTCTTGGAGAATTCTTGAAAGAAATTAAGAAGAACCCCTCCAGTGTAAAGTTCGCTGAGATGGCCAACATCCTGGTGATCCACTGCCAGACCACGGGTGAGTGTGTGGAGGCCCCTCAGAGGCTACTTTCCTCGCATCATCTCAGCGCTTCAGTGAGGGTAGGGCAGAGGCCTGAAAGGAGTGCTAGCCAGTGTGGCACTGGACCCTGGGAGCAGTGAAGCATGGGTCCTTCTAAGAGGGTGACTTAGGTTCTCTATCAACATCGAAGCGCTTTCCTTTGATCTGGCCCTGGAGAGGAGTAAGGCCTGGAGACCTTCTTGCTGGCAAGCTTGGCATTCGTGCTGAGAGTTGAAATGCTTGGAGGTTGGCATACTGTGTATGTTGACCTCTGTTGAGTAGCAAACCACCACAAAACTTACTTGCTTAAAACAAGAGTCACTTATTATTCGTAATGAATCTCTTGGCCAGCTGGGTATTCCTGCTTACCTGGGCCAGGCTGGGCTGGGCTCCATCAGGTGTCTGTAATCAGCTGGAGGGTTGACTGGGGCTGGGTGGTCTAGGATGGCTGCAGTCATGTCTGGCAGTTGGCTGGCTGTCAGCTGGATGATGGGGGTGATTGGGCCATGTGTCTCATCATCCAGGAGGCTAGCCCGGGCACATTCATGCAGCAGTGATAGGGTTACAAGAGAGACGGTAGAGTGAGCAAGGCCTCTTGAAGCCTAGGCTTGAACCAGGCACACTATCACTTCTACCCCATTCTTTTGGCCAAGCTAGCAAGGCCAGCCCAGATTCAAGGAGTAGGGGAATACACTCTACCCCTTCATGGGCGGAGCTACAAAATCACGTTACAGAGAGGCATGAACACAGAGAGGGGTAGAGGATCATGCCCATTTTTGCAAACTAGCACAGGATTGTTGCTCCATTCCCACCTGGCATCTGTGTACCTATAGAAGGCAAAAAGCAAAGGTGAGAAAGTTTGTGAGGCTGGAAGCAATTTGAGCCCTGTGCTTCCCCTACCCCTCCCATGTGGTCGGTGGGAGGGGAGCACTGGGCTGCTCGTGCCGACCCTCCGCACCTCCTGTCCTCCTCCAGACGACCTGATCCAGCTGACAGCCATGTGCTGGATGCGGGAGTTCATCCAGCTGGCTGGCCGCGTCATGCTGCCCTACTCCTCTGGGATCCTGACTGCCGTATTGCCCTGCCTGGCCTACGATGACCGAAAGAAAAATATCCTCAGCTCTGGGGGAGAAGACATGAACATGGCCCCGAAGGGGGCTGTGAAGTTCAGGGATCTTTAGGACCCACCACACCTCCAAATAGTCCCTGGCATTGGGAACAAGGGGTGGAGCTGAATATGGATTGGGAAAGCCAGGCAGCACTGAGGACGTGTAGCTAATGCTGGCCGTCCCCCAAGACCCACCTGGTTACTGACAGATCTGGAGCTGCTCTTCTGGGTCCCCAGGTCCCAACTCCCTGGGCTGACACTGCATCACCCTGGGTGGGGATATCTGTTGGCGGGTGGGCCATCAGAAAGGGGCCCTACAAGAAGAAATAGGAATGTCTCGTGGGGGCACAGATGTGGCAAGGAGAACGAGGACTCAGTTAGACTGCCTGTCTGCCCGCTCACAGAGTCTCTGGGGAGGACAGAGCCCCTTACCAGGAGCACCAGTGGCCTCAGGTGTAGGGAAGACCCCTGCTGGGCAGGGCTGCTCCTTACATCAGTGGCCTCAGGCATCAAGGAGGTGGCCAACATGTGCAACCAGAGTCTGATGAAACTGGTCACCCCTGAGGACGACGAGCCAGATGAGCCAAAGCTAGTGGTGAAGCGGCAGGCTGAGCCCAACCCTGACAACTCCCAGGCAAAGCAGGAGGGGACCGCCAGTGGTGAGTAGAGTTTGCCTCCCAGGGAGCCCTAACCCCCGGGGCTGCAGCTGGTATTGCCACAGCACCGGGAGAGGCTCCCATTGCCTTCCTGCTGCATCAGGGCCCTGCGTGACATGAGGCCAGACCTCAGGGCCCTGGGAAGCAGAAGGTGTTCCAAAGGCGGCTTTGCTATCAGCATGCCCCATGCCTGTGAGGCCTTGCCTGCGCTCATTATTGGGGTCTCGGTTTAAGTCACTAGTATCAAATAACAACCATTTATATGGCCTCCCTATGTGCTGGCTTGTTCCAGGTGCTTTACATGTGTAATGCTTTACATTCATTCTTTAAACTCTAACAGGCCAGTGAGGTAGGAATTGTTACACCCATTTTTCAGATGGGGCAAAGGGAAGACAAGTACCATGACTAGGACCTGGCAACTAGTTAAGTGGTGGAGTTAGGGGTTTGAACCCATGCGCTTAGCCCCTATGCTGTACTGCGTCAGAGACTTTTCCTTAATCTTTTCTCTGGGTTCAGCTATAGGAAATAGTTGTTTCCAATGTCAGGAACACAGCGGGAGTGCCAGGCTGCAGGGTCCACTTGTCCCTTGGCCATGGGCATCCAGCCACCAGAAGCCAGCCTGTGTTTACTGCACTTCATTCTCAGGGAGAGGGAACTAAGAAAGCACCAGGTGCAGTTTACTCAGTACTTGGGAATTCTTCGGCTGAAATCAGTGCCCTAAGAAATAAAGCTGCTCTCCTCTCCTCTCAAACTCTTCTAATAACATGATTTTCTTGTTTACCCATGACATAAAGAAAACCACTGTTATTCCAGTCGGGTCTGAAGTCTAACCCTGTAAATGTTATCTAGAACTCTGACGTTTTCCTATCTCACGGGCCTCTACTCTCAGGAGAGATCACCAGTCAGCTTTGGGGAGGTGTCGTCCTTCACAGAATCAGCCAGAGAGCAAAGTGATGCACAGCCTCCCCAAACCTTTACGGCTGGCAGACTAAGGTCTGAGCCTGCTCTTTGGAGCTAAAGGAATTTCAAAAGCCTTTTCTCGCATTGCCATTCTCGCACTTCTCCTTTGAACGTTCGTCTGAGCAGAATCTCAAGCCCATGTGCTCTTCTGGCCTTCTCCCTGGACTTGGCTGGTGGAGTTGTGCAGCATTTCATGCTGGCTGTCTCAGGTGTCATGTTATAGCTGTGCCAGTTGCCACTGTGAGCCAGAGCAGCAAAACAGCTGGAGGCAGAGTAGCACTCAGCTGGAGCATTGGTGGTTCAGTGGTAGAATTCTCGCCTGCCACGCGGGAGGCCCGGGTTCGATTCCCGGCCAATGCAGCAGCTGAAACCTTTTTGGCAGTTCCTTGAGAGAGAAAACTTAGGGAGATTAGTGTGGCCCTCCCAAGCTGGAAGCTGTTCTTACTGGGAGAAACTAAAGGCATCTCAAGAATAGGCATATTTTGTGAACTTTTGCCAATGTACAAGTATTTTGTTTTGGTTTTCTTGTTTTCTGTCTTCCATTTGAGAAAATTTGGAAAGCAGATAAAAATATAAAAAAAGCAGGGCTATCCCCAACAGTGGTTAAGCACTCAGCTGCTAACTGAAAGGTCACCAGTTCAAGCCCACTAGCCGTTCCAAAGGAGAAAGATGGGGCAGTCTGCTTCCATAAAGACTGCAGTTTTAGAAGCCCTATGGGGCAGTTCTAGACTGTCCTATAGGGTCCCTGTGAGTCAGAATCGACTAGACGGCAGCAGGTTTTTTGTTATCCCCACCAAGAGACAATGAGTATTATATGGTTGAGATCATACAACTTAGGTAATTCCACATCCTGCTTTTTTTGGTTTGGTGATGGGTCTTGGGGTATTTTTTTTTTTATTCACAAGCTACAACATGCTGATGTTTTGATTATTTTATACTGACTTAAAAGTTAGTGCTTCTTAATCCATAGAAACATAGTAGATTAGTGGTTGCCAGGGAGTGGTGGGGAAGGGAAGGATTGGGAGTGACTGCTGACAGGTACAGGTTTTCTAGGGGGGATCATGGGAATGTTCTGAAATTGGATAGTGGTGATAGTTGCACAAACTTAGAATATCCTGAAAACCACCAAATTGTAACTTTAAAATGGTGAATTTTATGTTATGTGAAATGTTATGTGAATTACGTATATTTTTTAAAAATGCCTCTTCATCTAAGTTGGAACCCGGCAGCCTCTGCCCCGCCCTTTCTGCTTATGTGGCAACAGTGTCCAGCTCTCTGGGAAGGCATCGCTCCATTCTGTGGGTTGTGGCAGCTGCTAAAAACCTCTCTGCTACCAGGAGCATTGGTGGTTCAGTGCTAGAATTCTCACCTGCCACGCGGGAGACCTGGGTTTGATTCCCAGCCAATGCAGCTTGTTTACGTTTTTGATGGCTTTCCTGAGCATTCTTCAGACAGCTGCCTGCTCAGGAGAGAATCATCCTACAGCCAGGAATGTTCAGGCAGCTTGGTTCCTGATTTTACTGCCCCATAAGCAGCATTTCAGCAGATGAAAAGCTCACTTTATAGTAGCTCCCAGAGATGGCAACAGCTACTTTTTGGGCCTCAGACCCACTGTCAGGCCTGCTCAGCTTGTAACTATCAGTCTTCACCAGGGTGCCCTTGAGAATGTCTCAGCAAGCAAAGCATAGAGACAAGTTAGCTAGTCAGCCAACAAGTTCATTCCAGAGTCCCCTATTTATTCTCCCACCTCTGCTCCCACTCTTCAATCCCTTGCCCATCCAGCTGACGACGAGAACCTCCGGCCTGGTCGTCCTCATTTCAGTGTCTTCCTCCTCAACTCAGTTCTGAGCATTCTGTCCCAGGACACAGAACCATGCAGGAAGCTTTAGAGCAGGAGGGGGATATGGAGGAAATTGGGGTTGCAAAGGTAGGTGAGGCTTTCCTTGAATGGCAGACGCTTCAGGAGCCAGCACCATGACCTGTTCCATTTTGGACACCTCAGTTGCCTTCACTGGCTTGGCCCAAGGTGCCAAACCAGAAAAACCAAACCCATTGCCGTTGAGCCGATTCTGACTCATAGTGACCCATAGCACAGAGTAGAACTGCTCCTTAGGGTTTCCAAGGAGCAACGGGTAGATTTGAACCGCTGACCTTTTGGTTAGCAGCCAGGCTCTTAACCACTATGCCACCAGGGTCCAAGGTAGGTACTCCGTAAATAAAAATGGATTCCTCTGTGTCCTCTCCTCTATGTGGAGATGCAGCAGTGGAACAGACAGATACCCCCACCCTCTCAGAGCTGGCACTGGGCGAAGGCAGGCAGTAACAAGTTAAGTATATAGTCTGGCAGATACACTTGGCAGCATGTATCAAAAGCCTTAAAAGTTTAAGAATCTATCCTTAGGAAATAATCATGGCTGTATGTAGGATTTTTCTATACCAGAGTTCTTTTTAGCAGATAAATGCTGCAGGAAACACCAAGTAGAGGAGGAGACATGGTATTATCCAGGAGGGGGTGCAATTTTAAGCAAGGTCCTCAGAGAAGGCCTCGCTGCAGATGTGAAGTTTGAGCAAAGACTCTAAGGAGATGAGGGAATGAGCATGGCAGGGTCCGGGAGCATTCCAAGCAGAAGGAACAGTGGTGTAGGTGTCCTGTGGTGGCACCTGTGGCACAATCCCCAAGAGCAAGGAGAGCAGTGTTGCTGGTGCAGAGCAAGCGAGGGGGCCCGGTGGTCCAAGATGAAGTCAGAGAGGGAATGAGGCCAGCCATTGGATGGACTTTGGCCTTACTCTGGATGACACAGGGAGTCATTTCAGGGTTTTGAACAGAGGAATATGATCAGACCTACATTTCCAAAGAGTCACTCTGGCTGGTCTGTTGAAAATAGTCTGTAGCAGGGCAAGGCAGACACAAGGAGCTCAGTTAAGAGGTATTGCAGTAATCCAGGCAGGAGATGGTGGTACTTGGTGGAAATAGTGAGATGGGATCAGTTCTGAGTATACTCTGAAGACAGAACCAACAAGATTACTGATGGGTTAGATATGAGGTGGAAGGAAAGAATGCTGGAAGGATGGAGTTGCCATTTACTGAGACGTGGAAGCCCAAGGAAGGAGCAGGTTGGCAGGAGACGAAGAGTTTAATGTAGAGCTAAACTCATGTGACCAGTTGATGATGCCTGTCAGGCATCTATATGGAGCCTTCAAGCAGGCAGCCTGGTGCTCAGGGAAGAAGTCTAGGCTGGAGGTAAGAATTTGGGAGTCATCAGCACATAGATAGTATGAAGCCATGAGAGTGGGTGAGATGCCGGGGAGCCACAGTGGATAGAGAAGAGGTAAGGGCCAAGGACTGGCCCCAGGACATGCTAACATTTAGAGCTGGGGAGATGAGAAGGAGCTGACAAGAGGCAGCCCATGAGGTAGAACCAGGTCTAGAAAATTGTCAAGGAGAATGAAGTACTAGGCTGTGTCACCTGCTGCTCATAGACAAGATGAGGACTGAGACCTGAATGCTGGAGTTAACACTGTGGAGGGCAGCAGCGATCAGACTAGCAGTGTTGGTAGAGCTGTAGGGGTGAAGCCTGATGAGCATGGGGTCACTCAAGAACAGGAGAAGGGGAGGTGGACATGTGGAAGGGTGAGATCCTTTTGAGGTGTTTACCTATAAACTGAAATAGGGTGATAGCTGACAGATACGATAAGGTCAAGAGAGATTTTTCTTTTTATAACTGGAGAAATTTAAGCAGGTGATTAGTTGCCTGTTGCTGCCATAACAAACTTGTGGCTTAAAACAACACAAATTTATTTTCTTAGATTTGTGGAGGTCAGAAATCCAAAATGAGCTGACAGGGCTGCACTCCCTATGGAAGCTCTTAATGAGAGAAATTAAATAACTAGCCAAGGTCACACAGCCATCTCTGGGAACTACTATAAAGGGAGCTTTTCATCTGCTAAAATGCTTGTTATGGGGCAGTAAAATCAGGAGCCAAGGTGCCTGAACGTTCCTGGCTGTAGAGTGATTCTCTCCTGAGCAGAGTAAAAGTCTCCAT